CTGCACGGAGAATGTTTAAGTATTTATGGCTGTTTACGACAGTAAGTAATTTGATTTTGAATCACAGTTAAAGGTGACCGTTGAGCGGGGAGGTCTCGCTTAAGCCAGTTGTTGTTTTCAAGGCATGGGAAAAGGCTGTACACTCTTCCGTTCCCTCGACTCTTACGATTGTCTCCGTTATCCTTAAGTTTTATTTTTATTTTATTTCTTCATCAAACGAGTCCGTGCAATTAGCCAATATTGGTCACAAAAGGGGGACGAGAAGACTGGCTGGAGACCATCACGATTTGCAAAACACGTTGCTTCTGGCTGAGGCCCGCTCGAGGTGGTAAGTATCCGTTTACCTTTGCTCTCCATTGTGACTAATTGGTTCCTTGCGAAGATTCGAGATTATTGCTTAATTTCACCTTTTTTTATTTTAATTTTAGTTGAATTGATTTACTTTCATTTCATTATAAACTTTTTTTATTTGCTTTATTTTTTTTCTTCGGCAATAGCCGAAACAATGGCTTTCTCTATTATATGAGATATGAGACTTCCATTGTAACTTCCAATCCTACCATAGCCCTAAAAACTTCTGTTAACTTTTTTAATACATGGGAATGATATTTTTACTTTTTTCTTCCCGGGCCAAGCTGAGGATTTTGTTATATTTTTCAAACAGTCTACATGATTCTATATTTTCTTCTTCTGAATAGATACAGATATCATCTGCTAACTGAACGATTTTCGTGTTTTCGTTCAGAATCTCTCTTCAGGCCAGAATGTTAATTTACTATGAAGTTCACAGAGTCGGGTTATTTGAATTGGTCGATTTGACTTGCAGAATGGGAAGTCACAAAATGATTAAGGATGAAACTGATCATTGCGAACTTAGTTAGCCAACACACGCTTAAGTTTTGGTTTAATAGTTTTAACAATAATGTAAATTCGAACGACTATGTTTTCAAAACAACAAAATGTAAAATCTTATTTTCTTATCTTATCATTTATTACATTCCAGGAGACAACAAAAAACAGAATTTCATAAAAATATTAATTATTATTTAACCTGAATCATGTTAACAATTAATAAAAATAACTGTGGGCGGCAACGGCCGCAAAAGCTTTAAACGGCCCTCATTAATGTAAGGTAAAGGTTCAGTGTTCGAACCCAACAGCCCTGTTTACTTACAAATGGGCTTTTTTTTTCAAAAACCTCCACACCCCGACGGTTGATTGACCTCTGCCGTTGCGAACCCTGCTAAAAGAAGTCAGTTTAAAAATAAAAATAACTTAAGTGTCCAGTTTCACGTAGAACACTAAGAGATACAATTTACAACTTGACTATGTTATTTCTCTTTCGAATATCGTTATGCGATGTCAAAAGTTATCCGATACATCATGTTTATTTTTATTTAGTTTTTTCTTTATAATACATTTTTAATTTTTATTTGATTTTAATTTGTTTATTTCAACTGTAAGAAAATAATAAAACAACGTATTGAAGAAAAGTAAGACTAACAATATTAACAAAAATTACTCAGAAATCGTGAGATTTTGAAAAACATTTCTTTATCGTGCCAACGTTTCGATCTTGATTGAGATCATCTTCAGGGCCTGGGATTTACAAACATTGTTTACATTTAACAAATACATTTAGGATGTGGAAAAAAGTGTAATTTATACAGTGCAAAATATGTAATATATATTTTGCATTATATCAATTCACTTTTTTTCCTAAATCCTAAATGTATTTGTTAAATGTAAACAATGTTTGTAAATCCCAGGCCCTGAAGATGATCTCAAACCAGATCGAAACGTTGGCACGATAAAAAAAATGTTTTTCTGAAACCTACATCACACCAGACCGCATCTCACGATCTCTGAATAATTATCGATTAACGGACACTAATCACCACACCAGTAGTAGTACCAGGCGGGATTCAGGAGAGACCGTTCTGCAGTCGATGTGGTGTGTCTTCTTGAGGCCGAGATTCAGGACACGTTTCTGGATCGAGAACACTCTCTGGCTGTGTTCTTCGACCTCGAGAAGGCATACGACACGAGGTACGCGGTTCTCCGGAAATGTTGCGAGTTCGGACTTCGAGGTAACTTACCCCGGTTCATTCGGGGCTTCCTTAGTAACCGGAGATTTAGGGTACGACTGGGGTCCGCGCTTTCAAGGGTGCATGTTCAAGAGAACGGCATCCCCCCAGGGGTCGGTGCTGAGTGTGTCGCTCTTTGCGGTGGCAGTAAATGGCATCGCCGACGGCATACCTCCCCAGGTAAAAGTTAAATTATACGTAGACGATTTAAGTTTCTACCTTTCAGGGAAGGACCTGGACAAAGTTGGGGAAGTTATGCAGACGGCAGTCGACGTGGTAGCCCTCAGGGCAGAGGAGGCCGGCTTTAGGTTCTCGGCGACCAAAACAGTGTGTGTTCACTTCTGTAGGCTGAGGAGGGAGCACACTCCTCCCCGGATCTGCTTGGGTGGCGTACCGATAAGGGGCGCCGAGAGCGTGAGGTTCCTCGGTCTCCTCTTTGACGAGAAGTTACGTTGGCAGTTCCACGTCGACGCCATCGAAGGGAAGTGCCAAAAAATAATCCAGCTCCTTCGATTCTTGGGTCACTTTCGTTGGGGGGCTGAAAAGGAAATATTATTAAGGATATTCGACTCGCTGCTGTGCTCGACAATGTTTTATGGATGTATGGCGTATGGTTCTGCAAGGAGGTCCCGCCTGACTAAGCTCGACCGTCTCTATTATCAGGGTCTTCGAGCGGTGTCAGGCGCCTTCAGGACCACCCCATTGGCCATCCTTTGCTGCGAGGTGGGTGTTCTCCCGCCGGACCTGAAGCGGGAGCAGCTCGCCTACGGATATGCGGCATCCATGCTGGCCAAACCAGGTAATCCGCTGGCGGTAATGATCACGGGCAATTCTCACAAGGATAAGTATTCCAGTCTGCTCACCCGGACGCGACCTCTAGGGATCCGCTTTGCCGAATCCCTGGTGAGGGATGGGATGGTACTGGGGCCGGTTCTTTCTCTGGGACACCAGGCGGTCCCGCCCTGGACCCTCCCCGCCGTACTTGTCCGGGAGGATCTGGTTCCTTGAACTCCGCTCTCAGTATCCCGGATGTAAGACCGTCTTCACGGACGGCTCTAAGACAGGGGCGGGTGAGGCATGCGGGGTGTACACGCGGGAGGAGAGCTCCTCCCACCCACTCCCTAGAGAGTGCAGTGTGTACACCGCCGAGTTATACGAGATTTGGCACGCAATGCTGGGGTGTCGGGCATGGGGGACGAAACTGTTCTCATCTGCACTGACTCCCTCAGCGCGGTGAGAGCCCTGAGAGACCTCTATTCACGGGATCCACTGGTCGGCAAAATCCAATTGAAATATGCGGACGTTGTGCGCGCCGGGAAAAGGGTGGTTTTAGCTTGGATTCCAGGACACGTCGGACTGGAGGGGAACGAGAGAGCGGACCTGGTCGCGAAAGTGGGTACTCTCGTTCCTCACAGTGATGATGTTGAGACCACTCCGATTCGGCCTGACGACGTTAAGAGAATAGTGAAAAATATGATGTTAGACAAGTGGAAGCGTCGTTGGGCCGACTCGACTGACGCGTTGGTGTCCGTTAAGCCGACGGTCGACCGGTGGAGCCCGGAGAGGATATCTCGAAGGGAAAGCGTTGTCCTGACCCGCCTGCGGATAGGCCACACACGTGCGACTTATGGGTACCTGTTGGTTGGCGCGAGTCGACCTAGGTGCCCAGCATGTCAAGTAGACAGACTCACGGTGTCGCATGTGTTGGAGGGGTGTCGCAGCTTGGCCCTGTATAGGGACCGAAATGGAATACCGCCGGGTTATAGAAGAATGCTCGAGCATGGCAGCGAATTCAAGGACAAACTTTTTAGGTTTCTAACAGATATTGGGATTATGGGTTGCATATAGAGGGGCATTTATTTTATAGGTTTAAGTTTAGCTTTAGTTTCTGGTAGAATAGAAGTATGTTGGGCGGCGGTGCAGCATATTATTTCAAGGCTCCACCGCTGCTCCGGTAAACCGGTTCGGGGCGGAATATCGAGTACCCTCCGACCCGGATTCCAGACAGAGGATATGCATGTGTGATTGGGTTTGTATATAGTAGTATGTATGTATTTATTGTATGAGTGAGTGTGAGAATGACTAGTTTTAGGGAACGTAAGGGCGCCGAAATGACCAAAGAAGTCGATGGCGCCCGACCAGAGCCCAACCTCGGAGTCGCTTATGCACTAAGGTGGGTGACTCCCTCTGATCTATCAGGGAGAGGCCAGAGGCCTCCTAGGAGGTCTCGCAATTCTAATTCTAATTCTAATAGTATTCGAGCCTTCCATGTTCTTTGTAAAGGTTACGTTATATTTTCTTTAATTTAAAATGTACCTGTTATTTCCCATTATATACCCATGTAATATTCATTTATATTTAAAGAAAAATATATTTTTCTCAAAGTTTAAATTTTAAAAACGCATTAAAAATTCTGATATCGTACAAGGTCCATTGAAATTAATTGGTACTAAGAAAACCATTTTTATAAATTTGTGTTCATGGAAAGAAAATTGAGAGATTAAAAAGGATATTTTAAAGTAGAACAGCTAAAGTGGCTCGCCTTCCCTACGTCTACGTTAGAACTACTTTTAAACAGAGTTGGTTATAAATAATTTAAGTACTTTTTTATTTATATAATATTTAATATGAAGAAGCATTATCAAATTTTCCACGGAAAAGTACACACACCTTTCCTGAAAAGCTACTTTCTTATTTTAAGTAATTTTATTAATTTTTTAATGCACTATATCGCTAGTTTAAACAAACTGATAATAGGAAGCAAAATACAAATACATATATTTATTAATTATAATATTAGTTCAATTGACAAAGATAATTTATCGATTATGATTTATTTGAAACAATAATAAACAATTAATTATTCAATTAGTTTTAAATTGCACTTTTATTTTGCAATTATTAGGCGTTTATTTTGGAGAAAACAGAGTTAAAAATACATTTAATGTGCTGACAACAACTTGATGATTGTAATCACGTCAACATTTGATTCGTCAGTATTGACTAATGACCGATTGGACGACAAAAACATAAATTTCCATCATGGTAATTCAAGTTGTTGTGTTATTGGTGTTGTTTTTCGTTAGTCCGTTTCTTTGAGAGAGCCCTGTAAGGAAAAACTCATTTTAATATAAATAATTACCAAAGTTGAGCAAAAGGATCATTCATTTCTTTAATTTATTACCACCCATTTTAAACTTCTTTGTCCTGTTTTTGCAGGAGGTTATCATTTACATCTGGCACTGTTGAATAAATATACGACATTCATGCCAATTTGTAAAGTTGTAAATTTATTTACGTTATTGTTTTTTATTGAGCGGTAGACCATATGAATTTTGGACTTGATGAACATGAATAAAATAGAATAAATTTTTATTTGTACATGTACACAACAATATATACAATAATTTTAGAATGTAGAGAATGTGACATTTCACTATGGCTTCCTACTATTTACACTAATCACTTTTTTATACAAATCGGTAAGAGAAATTCTATAACAGTTTGTAGGAAAACATTTATGTTAAACAAACGACAATAAAAAAACCGCAATAAAAAAACCACAACAAAAAATCCACAATAAAAAACCACAATGATGAACATGATCTCACCTGCAAGCTTAGTGAAACACGAGAATTAATTTAAATTTTAAGACAAATCCATTTTTTAAAATTTTTATTCCGCCATTCCTGTTTGAAAGATACAAAAAACCTGTGAAACATAAATATTTAGTTACAGATTTCTGATTTATACAAGGTGAAATCTGCATACATGTTTTTATTTAGTAGTAATTCGATGAACTATTCCTTCTGTATTTGGTGTTTGATTGATTTTTTAAAAAAATTATTCAGTGTCAAGAGGGTCTGAAAGATCCACGTTTCCATTTTCAGTAATCGGTTTTTCAACTTTTCTATGCCAGTTTGTATAGTATTATGTAAATCTCATGTTACAGGAACAATTCTCATATGGGGCGGCTTCCTACACGCTTTCTATATAGAGCCAAGTAACGACACCCTTCAATCAAGTAAGACAAAATCGAGCAGCCTTCTGCATACCGAATACATACGGGGGCATGGCCCAAAATAAGTGTCCGTCTGTCAACTTCGCATGGCTTGTTCTTAATCGGGTCAAGGAGCCACCAGTCGACTTGATACGTGAGAGCTTTCCTGCCTATCCGGCGAATAACAATTTAATAATACAAACCTTTTAAAATATAGTTTCAATCCAAAAGAACGTATTGAGCCTTAAATAAATTTTCGCAATTTTCTTGGAGGCGAAGCCTAATTTAAAAACAAAATATTCAATTGGATAATAATTTTAAGACTTTTAAAACCAAACAAGGTGGTATAATTTTGCAAAAATCCCAATCTGAACCTTCATCATTGTACAACTTCATCATGGTGTACAAATTTATCAAATTGGCTCACCCAACTTTTCAAATATTTTTTCTGAAACCTACATCACCGCACCTCACGATTTCTGAATAATTTTAAACTATCTGAATTCCATTGTAACATGATATCCTAACTTTGATTTAGCGTAGTGATAGTAATACAGTTTTTGCATATTGGAATAAATATTATTAAAAGGACTAAGATGACTGAAATAGAATATAAACAAAAAATATCATCACTATATATTCATCCGAACCTGTTTTATTTAAATGAAATACTTATTATAATTAATTTGACTTGTCTTAATAAACGGGTATGAAATGTTTTAAAAAAAGTTCAATACAATACTGCAAAAGCAAATAACACAATGTGAATAACATTTAAAAAAAAAAAAAGTTTTAGCTTATTTAATATTTCAGAGAAATGCGGATTTAAGCTGGAGGTTTACGATCTTTATTAAACTGGATTAAATGATTATAGGAAGTTAAGTTTTAATTGAAATTAATGAAGTCTAGGCTGTTAAATTGTTTTATACCTTTTTATGATATATTCTTTGTCTACAGCGTTATTTTTTATCACTTTAATTATACATTTTTTAAATGTTTTTACGATGTTTAAATATTTATTATAATGATGATAACTGTTTTAACGCAAATTAAAAAAAAAAAAAAATGCAATGCAATACTAATTGCCGCAAAACGTAAGATTTAAGAACACATCATTATTTCATGATAATTACCCACAAATCGGTTGACTAAAATTGTCACTTATTTTTAATTTTGGTTAATTCAACTTGAATAACAAAAGAATACGCAGTTTAGGAACAAAAGGAAGTTTAGGAAAAAAATTACATTAAAGTAAATGTAATATAACACAATTCTACGCCGTCTTATTTTGTTCCACCGGAAATTGTGTTTATTCCTTCTTCTGCAGAAGGATCTTGGTACAAATCCGATGAGGAGAAAGTCACTTTGCTGCTTACCTGTCCGCTGTCTTCACCCAACACGCTAAAATCACATATCGCGATTATGTTTTAGAAATCGAAGAATACCTAAAAGAATACCTCGTCTCCCCTTATCTTTTCCTCCTAAGCCGTCCGATGTTCAGTATGCTAGACGCCACGTCAAAGTAAAAAAAGCTCCTGGATTCGACCTACTAACCCCTCAAATCCCCACATATCTTCCCACATTAAATCCATAATATTTATTACCTGCATATATATATATATATATTCGTACCCCATCCCTAAAAGGTCCGGGACTTAGTCGGCTCATAAATCTCCTGGACTTGTTCACAAACCTCAAGATCTTGGACCATTTTTTCTCGGAGAGTGATTTGGTGATGTCCGCTCCTTCAAAAATTTCAAATCTAGACCTAGCATACCTATCACCCTCTGCGAGCTAGTGCTTTGCCGTTTCTTCTTTTATTTCGCAAAAACGGCAAAAAGGATCTGGTAGAATACCCATTACGGAGAGGTGTCTTCTCAGTAGGCAGTGGACCGTCAGGACACCTATCAGCCTCCTAATTCTCTTCCTTGAAATAGGCCATTTCCATTCTGCTGGTTTGATCGCCTAAACAAACTCCTTCGATTGCCTGTGTCCGGGGGATAGTTCCACTCCTTAAGGAATTGTTTCATACCCCAGTTTTTAATACTCTCTGCTCATAGAGGGAGGTAATACCGGTTGTGGCCCGACAAGTATTGTCTATATTCTTTGGCCAGGCTATCCAAATGCGGTGGTATCCAAATAAGGGTAACCTTGTTCTCAAACTTGGAAGAGATTCTATTGATAAGATCTACAGTTTCCTCCACAAGTCTAGAGGTTGACAAATCTTTTTGTAATGACCTAAGACTAGCCTGACTGTTAGAAAAAATTCTAATTTCTTTTCCCTTAATTTTATTTTCCATAAGTGTTCTACAACACACATTAATGGCCCAGATTTTCGCCTGAAAAACGAAGGTGTTATTGCCAAGAGGGTTTACCCATTTAGGTATGTAAATTCCTGCACCGCTCCCTTTACCTTTCATAAGTGAACCAAGTGCATAGCAGTCTGCGTTCCGATGGTCATCATCCACAGTATAATTATATTCAGAAGGGGTGACTTCCTGGAAGTACTTTTTCCCCGAAGGGGTTTTAATCGTTTTATCACTAGCGCCTAATAATTGTCCGTTAACTTGACTCAATAGGTGTAAGATTTTCGAGTGACCTATGTTATTGCACTTATGATTCCAGATACCTTTGCTAATTAATCTGTAGCAGCTGATTAGTGCTCTGACCTTAGCCTCAATGTGTAGAGGTGTGGTACTGGTTATGATTTCAAGTGCTATCTGCATACTTTTTTTTTTTTTTTTGCTTTATCAGGGATATAGAGCCAGATTCAGGTCCCAGTAACTAACAATCAAAGTATCTATCTATGTAAAGGAATGACTAGATGAATAAATAAATAAATAGGCTTGTAAATATATAAATAATACGATAACCAACAACAACTTAAACATTAATATCACAATTCTTGAAGTATTTGAACAAGGCGTCATAGACTTCCGTGTCACCCTCTGCCAGCAGCGAGCTTAAGTTCATTGGCCTTTTCACTTGCCCCAGAGCGTCCAATTCTTTTTGTAATTGTTCTCGCTGAGCCTCATATTCGGTGCATTGTAATATTATATGGTCAAGGCTCTCTTCTACATCGCACGTTGCACAGTTTGGCGATGTTCTACAGTTAATCCTGTATAAATATGAGCCGCAGATGCCATGGCCAGTTCGGAGTCGTGTAATTGTTGAGAAGAAAGCTTTTCCTCTCTCTATTTCTTGAAACCACGGCTTCTTTTGTAATGTTGGAAATAATGACCGGTATAAATTCCCTGCTGTGCCCGTATCGTACCAGTTTTGCCACTTTCTGCATACGTCTCTTTTTATATTGTTTGTCACGTCTCCGACGGTTAGCTGCACAGGCGTGGGAGAACCTTTAATGGTTGCCTCCTTGGCTAACTGGTCGACTCTCTCATTGTGTTCTATACCTGCATGCCCTCTTATCCAGCATATTACAATGTTTTTGCCTTGGTTCTTTAATTTGAAGGTTAACCTGAGAATTTCGATTATAATGTATTCATACTTATTGTGAAGATTGAAAGAGCGTAGCTGGCATATCGTGCTGAGGCTGTCCGTCATGATCCCAATTTTTTTATTTGGTATCCTCGCGGCGTATTCCAGCGCTTTCAGAATGGCTATACCTTCTGCTGTGTAAGAGCTAACCAAATTCGGAAGTAGATGTTCCTCGTGATACTTGTTCAGGCTGTCATAAAATGCACAACCCGTGGAGCCATTAAGTTTTGATCCGTCTGTGAAGATGAGGAGGTGATCTGGGAACTTTTCGCAGCTGTCTGCCCTGAAATTCAATTCTACGTGATTGGCTAGGAGTCCGGTATAATTAAGTTCTTGACAATTTATTTCGCTTGTTATTGCTTGATATTACAGCGAGAAGATTGGTAGTATCGGATTTTTGTAAACAGAATATATTATTGGGACTAGGGAGAGGAACGATTCCACTATAAGAGGAGCTTTTTTCTTTCGCCAGTATCTGTCTGTCAATACCTTTTGAGCTAAATGGCTTACTTTCGTTAATAGCGGGCTATCTTTAGCATACATTTTAATTAGGCAGTTTTTTGCATATTTTTCCCATCTTAAGTTCAGTGGTGGCTCACGTGCTTCGGCATAAAGAGCAGGTATGTGTATCTGCATACTTAATTCAGTTTTACGCACATCCTATTTTCCTCGTTCCTGTAAATATTCCATTAGGCCTGTGATTCGCAAATATTGATAATATAATATATAATCCCCGTAAAAATTTCACATTATCCTAGTTCCTACAGGGCCGTCAGTCTGCTTCCAGTTCTAGGTAATTTTCTAGCTTATTTAAAAACGATCCCAATCTTTAATTCCCAAAAAATTATCCCAGGTTATTAATTTTTTTCAGGCCGACACGCAAGAGCACAACAATGCCACCGCGTTGTAAATGTTATTTCTTCCTCCCTTGAGCTGGGTTGACTTAAGCTATCGTGACCTCGATCCACTCGGACACCAACTTCCGAGTTACGAAATTAGTGAATTTAATGAATTTAAATGAAGTATACTTCACTAAAGCTCTCCGTGGCCATTTCATTTGTCGTCGAGAATCCAATCCGATTACACGACATTTGAAAAATGACAAAAAGGAGGAAAAATTCAAAAGGTGGGGTTGAGATGGGAAGTTGGTGTCCGAGTGGATTGAGGTCACGATAGCTCAAGTGGTAGAGCAGGGGCGTATCAAGCCGAAGATCGTGGGTTCGAATCCCGCTCGTGCCATTGACTTTTTTATCTCAACTAAAAACCTTAATTAATTTTAACCATAAAAATGTACTAACATACTCCTCCATACTGCGGACAAAATGCGGTACCTAGGAGTGTATATGGACAAACGTCTAACGTGAAATTCACACACACAGGACTTTAAACTTAAAAAGCTATGAAACGTTACAGAGTACTTGCAGGATTTCTTGATAAACGCTCTAACTTACCTCTCTTAAACAAAGGGCTGAAAAAAAAGTTTTTTCTTTAGAATAATAATTCAAATAACTTATTTTATTTTATACACTCACTTTTACTTGGTGCCCAATTGAAGGTTGTAATACACAGAAAACAAATTTTTAAAAAATCCATTTTTATGTTTCCTACTCCTCTTTTAGTTTCTGAAAAACGGAATAAATTCTATCATCAAATATTTACGTTGTGTAAGATTTGTATAAACATTTAACCCGCACCTTACACGACTAAAGAATAAAAAATATTGTAGAATGCTGTTCCACTCTCGCGAAATCAGATCTCACGGAAACGTGAATAGAGAACTAAATTTCCCAAGTGGGATCCGCGCTTCTTTCTTTTTCCTACTTCGTTAGAGGAAAATCGCTAAATCGCTACTGCAATTTTCGCTGCCAAACGATACCGGTGTTCGCAGGAGTGCATCCACCTTCGAAAACATTCCTCAAATAATCTCTTCGGTGTAATATGCTGGCGAATTCTCATTGGCTCTCTTAAGCCCTTGTAATAAATTCTTTAGATCTCCATTTTGGTTTAATAGCCCCTGGGTAAACACACATGGCAGTTTGTCAAGCATATATCTATTTTTAAATATTACACAACTAGTTTAGGTTGTGTTGGTTGGTATAAAAAAAATACATTTTTTATGTACAGCGTTATCAAGTGACTACTAAAATTTACTCTCCATTATTAATTAACACATAGTTTAAATTTAGTTAAACCAATAATTGTTTTCGACTCAAATTACACTTTTTATCGAGATGGACTTCATAGCCTAGCCTAATTACAAAATGAAATTCAATATTATATTTTGATGGGAAGCTAAGTTTTAGCGATGTTGATGTTGACCGAAGTATACAACAAACCACGAGAATAATCAGAACGAGATAATCAAACGCTACCAAACCGTGACAAATAAATCTACGAATGTCTATTTATCCTTATTTTTAATTGGTATGATTTATAAATTTTCTTGTTGTTGAGATATTTTAAACTTAAAAACAAAAATAATTCAATGGCTGAAAAGATCGTTCGATGCATATTAAGAAAGCACAAAACACTCAACGTAAAAATAAATAAAAAACATAAAAATAGATAATAAACCCAGCTAAAGCAGAAAAATTGCGTTGAATTTTTCTTTTATTGTGCTTTTTATTAGGTTAATGTTGGGTTTTACAATTTCTGCAGTGCTGTTCTTGTGTAGTGGCTATTTTGTCCAATATTTTATTTATTTTTCCATTTTTATTGTCTGTTTGTTATGTGTTTTGTTTAATTTTTCTTTCTTCTTGTGTTTTTTTTTTATAAAATTAAATTCGTGAAATAAATTTTGCCCAGGACAAAAAGTTGACTTACTAAATTTACCACACTTCTCTGTTACACGCCGTCGCCCTATTTTCCCATTCAGTATAAAAATTTTTGCAATTTTGTGCGAGGCAATTAAGAACTGGGAATACCGCTAGATGGCTGGAAACGGAAAAGTTGTTACGAAATTTGTCAAGCTCTACCGTGAATTTCTCCAACGAAATTGCGAATTAGTTTATAACAAATTTTCATTTTATCTGTCTTTGAAAATTTTAGTGTGCTTTTTACCAAAAATTAAATTGAATGTTCTACAAGGAACAATCTGTCAAACTTGTCTAAATAAATAATTTTTTTATTACATTAATTAACAACTGTATGTTATTGTGTATTTATTTTAATTTTTAAGAAAATAGGCCCTGATGATTAGTCTTCATTTTTTTTCACCTGTACGAAGATCTACGAAGGTAGGAACCCTACATAATTTGTCTATACGTATAAATATATGTGATTATATATAATTTAAAAAAAAGAGTGTATGTATATATACACTCTTTTTTATAGTATATAGTATTTTATAGTATATAGTATTTTATAGTATAGTAGTAGTTGTATTTTATAGTATAGATTATATATATATATATATTTTTTTTTTTTTTTAAAACCTTAACTTTTTTTAAATAAAGGCAGAAAATCACTATAAGGTGATATATTTACATTTCAACTGTCAATATAAGAGAGGCTGAGAATACGGCGGAAAAGTCCACAGTTACGCAACACACAACAAACTCGCAGGTTTAGTCTCATTGTCATATTTGACTATTGACTTTTATTAACTACAAAATAAGACGTTCATTCACAATTTAAGTTTAATTATTGAAGTTATAAAGGAAATATGACACATGATGAACAGCATACCAACATAAAACGAAGTATGTTTTCGAAATTTCAGATCTACGCAACAATAACCCGTACTTTACATTCAATCAAATTATATAATATACATATATATAAAACTTTTAGGTTTCCCGATAGAAGCATGTTTAAATCTCATCATAAAAAGAATTATATGTAAGGCAATTAAAAAGGCACATGTAAGATTAATATTTCTTAAGAAATATGTTGATGACACTTATATGTATACATCAAGACGATGTCCGAAGGTTGCTAAATACTCTCAATAATGCACATCGTAGTGCTAAATTTACCGTTGAACTAGAAAATATTTCAATATTGCCTTTTTTTTTTTACTTAATGGTAACTCGTGCTGACGACTTCACTTTCACTGTTAATTTGTTTAAAATACCAAACACCGATAGAATTCTTAATTTCTAGTCTTCTCACCCATATAAACAAAGATAACCTTCAGCTTTCAGAAAAACAATTTAAAAAATTTACAAATTAAATTATGCAAATATAATTACCCCAAAAAGCTTCTAGATGTTGATATTAAGAAAGAAAAGGCAAAATTCTTTAACAACGTAATTTCAATGAATGGTATTATAAATATATATATATATATATATATATATATATATATAATATATGTAAATATAAACTAAAATAATTTTAAGTAATGGTTAGCTTATAACGGATAATGTAAAATAAGGCGATTTTAAATTATTTATGTAATCATTTATTAAATCGAAGATGTTTTAATTAAGATAAACTATAATTTTTATTTTACAAGACATTTAAAACACAGTAGTGTATAATAGATATTGAATTGTACATAACACATGTGTGGAATCATGTATCAAAGAACCAATGATTATGGCACTGTGAAGAAACCTAGCGTTCATAATGAGTGACTGTTCATCCTAATCGAACCTAAAAAATATAATTAACTTAGAATTTTTTAAACTGGAGATCAAGAAAAAAATGAAACTTTCATATACATTTTTAAGCTTGTAATTTATTTTTTTCAATGAATAGATGGATGGCTTGGTATATAAAACACTTCTATGTGTATCGATAAAAATGGCTTTTTGAAATATTGCTCCTGTGCCAAAACCCTATCCTACGTTTTATACAATGATCTACTTTATTTTATTTTTGCCGTTTTCTAAAAACTTTTAGCTTATTAAACGTATCCGTGCGGAAGGAAAGAAATCCTGGAAAGGGAGTGGGAGAAAAAAGGAAATAAAGATTAATGGGATTTTCCAATGTATAGATACATAAATAGTTCGAAATAAAGAATTTTACTGTGTGTTAATGTAGGACCGTTTTAAATAATTTATTTGTAAAACCATTTGTTATTATGGTACTATATTTAGCACCAATAGATTTCAACTTAATTTTTTTAATTAAAGAAAACTTTACAATTGGAAAGATTATTTTTTCTATTTTGACTATTTTAAAAGTTTTTATTTGTAGAAGCCTAGGAAAAAAAGATTTAAAAGCATAAAACAATTCATTTAAAATATTTCAATCGCAAACATCAATTAAAATGAACATGAAACGAAAATAAATCATCGAATTAAAATATTACATTTTTTTGCTGGGTGGTTAAAAAGATTATGTTTTCAATCTGTCAAAAAAACGGTTTCAGGTCAATACAACCCCGGATTTTTCTAACTTTAATTAATGATTTAATCGATTCTATTCTACATAAAGAATCTACGGTGTTAAAATAATGAGATTTTTTCACTAAATCGTACAGTGTATTGCTATAAATATAGATACAGATAGGTTATAGATTATTATATTCTATCTACTCCATCTCACTTCTTCATCCCAAAGTCCTAATCGAACGGTATGGGTTGGATACGCTCAATTTACCCTACAAGGCGGACGCGGGGTCCTACAAGCGTCCTCGATCTACTTCTGTACTTCGTATACACTCTCTAATACCCCTTCCAATACAAACACCACTGGGCTAACAGATGATACTGCAATTCTATCCTCTAACCGCGACCACAACGAGCTCACCGAACGCTCGAGACACAGCTATATTCCGTAGAACAATGGTTCAAAAAATGACGATCAAACTCCACAACAACATCCCAAAACTCAACCTTCAACCTCCGTCTCAACTTCTCTACCCCTAATCTATTATAACCTAACTCCTATGAAATGAGATCAGCCATCTTGATCCAGACAAGCAACTGATTTGGAATCGCCATACAGGTCCTAAGCAGGCGAAACTTAACCGACGATGCCATTATTTAAAAATAGGGTGGCGTCGGTGACCTCACCAGTTTAAGGGTTGACACGGCACTCATTTGTAAGGTAAAGGTCCGGGGTTCGAATCTAGCGGCCACGTATTCCAACCCGGCATACTTACAAATAGACTTTTTCAAAAACACCGGCACCCCGAAGGAACATACAATCTCGCATTTGAAGTACCTTCGTAAAAAATTCATCGTCAACGCCCCCTGTTTCCAACCACACCATCCACAACGACCTTAATTTACCTCACATAAAATGGTACAAAATCCATCTACAAAAATTTCCACCCTAATCCTCACCTACAACAACGATCCTCTCGTTGACCACCCAACAATCCTCCTCGACGTCTGAAAAGGCAATAGCTCATTGACCTGTTCTCTTACAGAACTAATGTATAAAATTAATCAATGATTACGACTGCTACCCGACTCGTTTTTGCTAAGACAGTAACATCAGGGTTCAATCCCGAGTCATTGATTTTTAATTGAAAATAATCTGAAAATGTATTATTAAGTAGTTTGACCCGTTGTCCGCGACACCCAATGCGTTGTTGGACATTAAGCCCTTCTGTATGAAAGGAATTTATTTTCGTTTTTACTGAGCTATCAAGTTCTTGAGTTTTGGACAAGTTTTGTTGATTAGACCTCTCTTGACCACGCCCGAATAGGTAATG